GGGGGACAACAACCAACCAATCAGATTTACAAGCCTTTCCACATCCTGTGGAGATCAGTCTGCGCTGTGCCCTCGCTGGGTGAAGATGGATTACTCTTTTAGAGTCGGGATTTTTTTTTGTCTGCTTTTTTTTGTGCTAAGGTTTTTTGTTTAATTTGATAAGTTCAACAGATATTATGGATTTTTATTTTGCCTTTTTAGGGCTAAAAAAAGAAGGTTTTAGAAAATAGAAGACATCAAATGGTAAGTATTTTTATTTATTTATTTACAGGTAGTTAGTTTTATTTTTCTACTTCTCACTATTTTTCGGGTGAGAGGGGTAGGTAGGACTTTAATTTTTTTGGGGGGAGGAGGGATATTTTTACATTTAGCCCCCATCCATTGCCTATTGGTGGGGGAAGTGGGGAGGACAATAGGTCTCCCCCCATTGTCATTTAGGGCCCCACCCGTCACTCATGAGTGGGGGCTGGGGGGATGTCAATAGTTCCCCCATTGTCATTTAGGGCCCCCACCCACCGCTCACGGGTGGGGGCCAGGGGGTAGGAAAATAGGTCCCCTCTTTTTGTTATTTAGGGCCTCCACATGCCATTCATGGGTGGGAGCCAAGGGGGGAGGACAATAGGTCCCCCCTATTTTAATTTAGGGCCCCTACGTGCTGCTCATGGGTGGGGGCCGGTGGGAAGACAATAGGTCCCCCCTATTTTCATTTAGGGCCCCCACCTGCCACTCATGGGTGGGGGCCAGTGGGAGGACAATAGGTCCCCCCTATTGTTATTTAGGGCACCCACCTGCCGTTCATGGATGGGGGCTGCGGGGAGGACAATAGTTCCCCCCATTGTCATCTAGAGCCCCAACCCACCGCTCATGGGAGGGGGAAGAGGTGGAGGACAATAGGTCCCCCCCATTTTCATTTAGGGCCCCCACCTGCTGCTCATGGGTGGGTCCGGGGGAGGACAATAGTTCCCCCACTGTCATTTAGGGCCCCCATCCGCCACTCATGTTCGGGGACTGAGAGGGAGGACAATAGGTTGCCCCCATTTTAATTTAGGGTCCCCACCCGCTGCCGGGGGGAGGACAATAGATCCCCCTCTTATTATTATTTATGGCCCCCACCTGCCGCTCTTGGGTGTGGGCCGGGGGTTGGAAATAGTTCCCCCATTGTCATTTGGGACCCAGCCCGCCACTTATGTTTGGGGGCCAAGAGGGAGAACAATAGGTCCCCCCCATTTTAATTTAGGGTCCCCACCCACCGCTCATGGGTGTAAGCCGGGGGGAGGACAATAGGTCCCCCCTTTATTGTTATTTAGGGCCCCCACCTGCCGCTCATGGGTGGGGGCCGGGAGGGAGGACAATAGGTCCCCCCATTTTCATTTAGGGTCCTCACCCAACGCTCATGGGTGGGAGCCGGTGGGACCCTGTGTTCCTGTTTAGTTGAATAACCCCCACTCATGGGGCATGGGTGAGGGCTCGGGGGAGGCACTATGTCCCCTTCGATAGTTAATAGATGCCTCACTATGGGGCCATTGTTACTGGACATGCCCCTACTTGCGGCATAGCGAGTAGGGGCAGATTAATCACTAATGCTAAGTAATCTTTACTTAGTATTAGTGAAGTTGGCTGAAACACCAATTTATGTAGTTCAGTCTTTTGCTTGATAGCTCCCTAGTACCGTGGCGTCCTAATACGGCACGAATCAGATCGAAATTTCATTCATTCTAATGAAATTTTGAACCGACCTAAAAGTACCAAATGCCATCTTCACATGAATGAACAAACTGTTCTCATTCTGTAAGGATGAATTTCGGTAGTTTCGTTGGCATTCTGTCTAAATGACAGAATGTTTGGGAATAGTAACAGGAAGCATCGCAATATCACAGAGGAAACATGAGAATTGTGGGAACATTTATCTGGCCTCAGTAAATGGAGCAGACTTTGCTCCTCTGCTGGTCATAGCTGGTCAGGCATTGGAAAAATACATAAGACAAAGTAGTCCCTACTTTCTCTTATGTTTTAAAGAAAACTAGATCAAAGAGGAAGAAACAGAGACAGATCCTGAGAGAGAGAGAGAGAGAGAGAAGAGGAAGCGATTAATGAAAGGCATGTTCAGCATGACAGTGCCTCTTTGAACATTAACAACAGGTACTTACTCAGTGTTATGCAAAACCAGGTCATTTTTCTATTAATTATTATGTTCAAAGATTACATCAGAAATTAACCCCCCCCCCAAAAAAAAAAGACAAAAAAAACACATACATTTACATTTAGATTATCCTTACAAGACAAAAGTGTGACGGACCGCCTGGCCCTGCTCTTATTCTGAGTAAAATAACTACCCTAACTGGGTTAAATAAGTTCGAAATTATCTATAATTATCTATAATCTATAAGATCTATAAACTGATTTCCAGGTATAACCAATTTTAGTAAATAACACTAAAATACAATGGCGACACGACCTCGGCCTCCTCCAAAGAACAGGTGGGAGGAGATACAAACTATGGAAGGGCGAGTCAAGAATATGGAGGAGGACTCGCAGGGCCTCACCACAACATGCATACAGATGGAAGCCCAAAATGCAGAGCTACAACACAACCAGTCCCTGCTTACACTCTGAGGGATGTCATGCTACAACTCCAGACACGGTCGGCCCAACTAAACTTCATGGCAGTGGTGAGAGGAAAGGCTACTCACCCCTTCCAAACGGCCACTTTGTCTTTCTATCAAGACTAGTGATGTCGCGAACCCGAAATTTTCGGTTCGCGAACGGCGAACGCGAACTTCCGCAAATGTTCGCGAACCGGCGAACCGCCCGAAACGCCATTGACTTCAATGGGCAGGCGAATTTGAAAACACACAGGGACTCTTTCTGGCCACAATAGTGATGGAAAAGTTGTTTCAAGGGGACTAACACCTGGACTGTGGCATGCCGGAGGGGGATCCATGGCAAAACTCCCATGGAAAATTACACAGTTGATGCAGAGTCTGGTTTTAATCCATAAAGGGCAGAAATCACCTAACATTCCTAAATCACATTGAATATGGATTGACACCCGACATATG